GATTCTAGTTCCAGGTGTAGTGTTAGTTCTAGTTTTACTTCAATATTAATATATAATCCTAGCGCTGATAGTGTTAGGTAGCGCTAGTAAGCCTTAGATAGCGCTAGATTGTATACTAATATTGAAGTAAAATTAAAACTAACACTACACCTAGAACTAGAAACATTCGGGTTTAGCCGTCTTACGAGACGTGCGGCTAAACCCGAATGATTCTAGTTCCAGGTGTAGTGTTAGTTCTAGTTTTACTTCAATATTAATATATAATCCTAGCGCTGATAGTGTTAGGTAGCGCTAGTAAGCCTTAGATAGCGCTAGATTGTATACTAATATTGAAGTAAAATTAAAACTAACACTACACCTAGAACTAGAAACATTCGGGTTTAGCCGTCTTACGAGACGTGCGGCTAAACCCGAATGATTCTAGTTCCAGGTGTAGTGTTAGTTCTAGTTTTACTTCAATATTAATATATAATCCTAGCGCTAACAGTGTTAGGTAGCGCTAGTAAGTCTTAGATAGCGCTAGATTGTATCCTAATATTGAAGTAAAATTAGAGCTAACACTACACCTAGAACTAGAATCATTCGGGTTTAGCCATCTTAAGAGATGTATGGCTAAACTCGAATGATTCTATTTCTAAGTATAGTGTTAGTTCTAGTTTTACTTCAATATTAATATACAATCTAGCGCTGACAATGTTAGGTAGCGCTAGGAAATCTTAGATAGCGCTAGATTGTATACTAATATTGACGTAAAACTAGAACTAACACTACACCTAGAACTAGAAACATTCGGGTTTAGCCGTGTTAAGAGACGTGCGGCGAAACCCGAATGATTCTAGTTCCAGGTGTAGTGTTAGTTCTAGTTTTACTTTAATATTAATATATAATCCTAGCGCTGACAGTGTTAGGTAGCGGTAGTAAGTCTTAGCTAGCGCTAGATTGTATATTAATTTGAAGTAAAACTAGAACTAACACATCTAGAACTAGAATCATTCGGGTTTAGCCATCTTAAGAGATGTATGGCTAAACTCGAATGATTCTATTTCTAAGTGTAGTGTTAGTTCTAGTTTTACTTCAATATTAATATACAATCTAGCGCTGACAATGTTAGGTAACGCTAGGAAATCTTAGATAGCCCTAGATTGTATACTAATATTGAAGTAAAACTAGAATTAACACTACACCTGGAACTAGAATCATTCGGGTTTAGCTGCACGTCTCTTAAGACGGCTAAGCCCGAATGTTTCTAGTTCTAGGTTTAGTGTTAGTTCTAGTTTTACTTCAATATTAATATATAAACTAGCGCTGACAGTGTTAAGTAGCGCTAGTAAGTCTTAGATAGCGCTAAATTGTATATTAATATTGAAGTAAAACTAGAACTAACACTAAACCTAGATCTAGAAACATTCAGGTTTAGCCATATTAAGAGATGTATGGCCAAACTCCAACATTATCTATAAACATGTTTTAACAAGATCCATTATATCAAGGTTTTGCTATAATTATTTTTCTTACCGTTAAAAAGGCATCAATGTGTAACATAAGAGCAGGTGACCTTTGTATGATAAAATTGTTGACACAACCAATTGCACAGGATCTAATTTTTGAACTAGAGTGACTAAAGAATTGTAAAAATTTTGGAATGAGTATGTCTAATGGTCGATTAACGGTGTCACCATCCAAAACTTCAACTGAGTCCTCACATATTTTTTGTAACGCCCCAAACGCGCCCTCACACACATTATAATCTTGCGAATCCAACATGTTGCACAAAGCAGGAAGTAGCTCGGGCCAAGATTCCAGCTCACTTTTACTGGCAATCGTAGTGATAAGAATCCCAACGGTGGCACGAATTAAAGGTGATGGATCTCCAACAGCTCTCAAACATTCTTGCTTTATAAATGTTGTTACACTAGACACTAGGTTATGATAGTGAGTTCTAACATTGTTTTTTAATATTAAACCACTTAAAGAACGTGTTGGCTCATCCTCTTGAACCATTTTTGTTAGAACAAACATAAGATAGTTACTAAAATCGGGATATTTACTTAATTGTTCCAATTTCTGAAGATTCTTATTAAGGAAAAAATTTAACTCGGTTGTGTAACGACCTAAACAAATGAAAATATTAAAAACTGGGGAATAGTTATGGAAGTGAGGTGGCAAAAAAAGAAACTGATTTATCCTAAACGAATGTATGTTGATTAAAGTTGATGTAATATTGAATTGATAAAATTCGTTTACGCTTCATTAAAAAAAGGATACTTGCTGTACAGCTCTTTGGGTAGCGGTGTCCGGCGATTGCGATTCCTTCAATAAGGTTAAAATCTCGCGTAAACCCTCTTGTTGGGGTGTCCACTCCATTTTCATCGTCGTTTCGTGTACGGGGACGCTAAATCACTCTGGCTGTCTCGTCACTAAATGGGTGTCGAATAAGTTTTTTTTTAAAACGAAAAAAAATCCTAGATAACGCTGGAGAATAACCATCAACGCAACAAAATATTTCGGCACGGGGCAATATAGGTGGTGGTGGGGGGTTAAGAGAACGCAACGGAACTGCACCTAGTTAGTCAAAATACCTTCCGAATTCAAATAAATATCACCGTTTAAAAACATTTCATTTATTATTTTAGCCATAAAATCGTACATTTTAAGAAACATTTTTAATAAACAACCCGATCTCACGTTCGTTAACAATTTAACAATCATCCGTTACTAAAACCTATGAAACGATTCAATTCGAATATTTCAAAATCAATACATAAACCGGCACTCTACAACGATTACTTTTAATTATTTATTATTCCTGTCAACGTTTTCATAGATATTTATGTTTTAATATTATGTACACCCATATTATCTCATTTTCTTCTTTATTACTTATAAATTTCATTTTAACACCGAAACGATCCCGGAAAAGGTTCTTAGTATAAAAAGTAACAAGTTGGGTTGCATAACCACTTCGTATTTATTTCATATCATTTAATTTTTTTATTAATAACATAATATTTCTTGAAATCGCCCTCAAAATTAATGAGAACTGAATTTTTTTCTAAATTGATACTAATATAGAATAATATCGTGACTTGAAGCCCATAGATACGACTGTTATTACCAAAATATCTCGATAATAGAAGTAAAGGATAAAATACATAACCTTCGTTGCCAATTCCAGAACATCAATAGCAAACGAAAACACACTAAAAGTCAGCAGGAGAAAATTTTGAAGTCAAATGGAAAATTTATGCTTCATAGATAAATTTGTAAAGAAATCTTTGGATTCCAAATTTCCACGAAGGTTAGGATTAACTAAAAAATCTATTACTTAGTACTCAACCAATCACAGGAATTAGTATCTCTTTTAGGTGTTGGACACTGCAGATAATAATCCCAAACTGTTAATAAAAGCTTCCTCTTTCCAATGAACCAACCCGTTTTGAAAAATAACTTTTAGTTTTTGAGAAAACAATATTTGAAGTTTCGATAAAATTTTCAATGTTGCAATTTTCATCGATAACTTTCAAAATTCGCTATAAAATTAATTTCTTGAAGGATCCTTGTGGAAATATCGCCAATTATAATTAAATTAATTATCCTGCTTTTAGAGTTGCTTCGTTAGTTAAATCAGCATCAAAGAAGTGCATTTTGTATCTTGGATCCAAATAAGTTAATTAATTTCATTTTTATTTCAAGTTTCATTTCAGAAATGCACCAGAAATTATACCATAATGGCCGAATATCCGGTATCCGGCTTTTCATAAAATCACTACCCGTTCCATCACTAGTCTCTACTGTCTGGTTATATTGTGCCATGTTTGTGATTTTCCACATCTACCATAAGGAGTGTAGTGTTTTAGACCGTGTCATTAAAAAATTATGCAAGGATCACTTTTTCAGATTCTAATTCAATTGGTCTTCTTAGTACACGAAATCTAGTTGACACTAAACCAAAAGCATTCTCAATTAATCTGCGTGACCATGCAAATTTCTAAATGCCTATGCTTAAATGTAACTAGATAGCGACTGTCCTTTATGGAGGTTAACTGCGTTAAGAGAAAGGAAGTGTGAATTGATAGATTTCCCCTCTAGAAAGGAGTATATATTTTTATTTTCTTTCCAGCCAGTGTGAGTATTGCCAATATGACGCAATTTAGTAACATTCCATCAATAACCTAACAAGGATTTTTTCCTAATACATCAAAAATCACTTTGTGTAAGACAGATTTATTAAATGAGCTCCGAAAAAAAAATTTTTTTACCTGGAACAAATATTTGCGTGTATTGTTTATATACAATAACTCAAACACGATAAGAAACAAAAAAATGTAAAGATAAAAGTTATGGTGTGACTAAGAATAATTTAAAGTGGGTATATAATAAATTAAAAGATATATGGATATATGGATATATGGATATATGGATATAGGAACAATTTTTGAGTTTAATTTTCCATTGTCCATACAGTGTGTTAATTAATTATCGTACCCGACGTCATCATTGCAAGTATGCAACTAATATCACAGTATAGGTATTGAAATATGCGATTTGCGTATTTGGTTGCATACTTGCAATTACTTGTAGTTTGTAATAAATAAATAAGATGGGTGTTGTAAAAATTAGTTATACAACCCAACGTGTTCTAAAAGATGTATCAACAACTAATTAATTTTGTATATAAATAAATATCGAACATGATTAATATTACTTAAAATAGTCTTACTAAATGTATTTATTGAATATTACTAGGATTACATGTTAATGGGAAATAAAAATTTTTTGAAACCACTGAGTAACCATGGGTTACGATTACGTGTAGAATGGTAAACAAGTAGAAAAACGAGATGTATATCAGTAAATAGACGATCATGCGCCATATTGGCGTTGTGTGGGTGACGAGGGTGTCTTTGACCATCGCGTTGCGGTGCTATATAACGTAAATCGGCGCCGAATGCAACTGCATGCGGACGCAATATGATCGCGCGCGAATTTTCAAACTTTTGAAAAAGACTATGGACGACGTCCGCGAATTAAAATCTCCAAACGCAACGTCCGAATTGGTGGCGGCTAATTATAACAAATTATCCGATCATATTCGGAGATTAACACCTCAGGGGATACAATGTAGCGTTTTTTGCGGCGGAATTAATTGTAAATATGAAAATCCGGATAATTGGACTGCTGATAGTTTGGCCGTGCAAGGAATATATTCTCATTGGTAAGTTAAAAGAAACAATTTTTTTGTATTACAAGTTATACGTGTTTATGTCGGTTATTATTGAACACCTGTCGTTATTAATACTTCGTTTTGTGAAATAATTCATTGAATCAATAGCAAATTGATAAAAACGTCCGAGTGTTATTTCCTAACGATAATTCAAGGTCGATCTTTTGCAGGATTACTTCCGACATTCTTGCGATGGCACGACCTAGTACCATTCTAATCGTCAAAAAGAACATTTTACAGCAATTCGAAAGGTAAAATCAATTAGGTACTTAATAATAATAAAAAAATGTATGAATTTTTAAGTTTGGGAATCAAATCAATCATAAATTTACAATGCCCGCGGGAACACGCTAGTTGTGGACAACCATTAGAAAGTTCCGGTTTTTCTTATGATCCTAATATTTTTATGGAGAATAAGAGTAAGTTATTTATTTATTATTTGTAAATTAAGATGCATATTATTTTTTTCTGGAATAAATAAAAATGAATCAAAATAACAGAAAAAAGCATAGAATTATATTTGTACTGCGCAAGTTAATGAATATTAATGCTAGCTATTTTAAAACTGGCACTCTTATCTTCCGGAAATCTACACGTTGGAAAAGCCGCGGGTTTCGCCTGCATAAAAAAGTCGTAAGTATTTAAGCGGGCATCAAGATCGATACAAAATTTTCTTTTTAGCGCAAGTACTAATACATTAATTCACATCAAAAATATTAATACAAAAATAGTCGTTTGGGGTGTCTAATTAAAAAGTAATTTACTTGTTGCAACCGACTCAATTATTCATAACCCTATTAGACCTCGTCAACTTGTCAAAACGGGTCTTGTACAAAAAAAAGGTGTTGCATCTTTAATATGTTTGTTACCTGTTAGTGCACGATATGTCAAAAAGTGGGTCACGGTTTTTTTGTACCCCGATCCAAGATAAGAAGTGAATTACCGATCTAATTCAAACTCCCTTTATATCGGGATGGTCAAGAACGAAAACATATATTATGCAAGATAGTAATTTTATGTAATTTCTAGAGTACGAACCAATAGTTGTGTCAAATCGATACTAAATATCGTTTTGGCACTTAATAAAGCACTTTAATTCACTAAATACCGTTATTAAATTTAATTCGATAAAATATTTAATATGCATCGATTTAATCCCTTTTTTGACATAAATCTTTTTTTAGTATATTATTATAATTTCGCTTGGAAAGATTACGGAGATGCCACCTTATTAGGATTATTAAACATGGTTAAAGTTTTAGCTTTTGCTACATCGGAAGGAAGAGTTGCTGTTCATTGTCACGCTGGTAACTTGATTTATATTAATTTGTCAATATAAAAAGAAAAAATTGTGCAGGTTTAGGAAGAACTGGAGTATTAATCTCGTGCTATCTGGTTTATTCTTTAAAAGCAGAAGCGAACGATGCAATTAAATACGTTAGATATAAACGACCGGGTTCGGTTCAAACTCGGGGTCAAATTGTGTGCGTTCGCCATTTTGCTAGTTTCATTTTACCGAGAAGATTAACGTTTTTTATAAAGTATTAATTGAGCTTATTAATATATTATTTATAACACACATTTTTTAGAGAATGCGAAAAAGAAAAATACATGGCTCCTTTTAATTTAGCTAGGTTTTTAAGGCGGCAAAAAGTGCTTTTTCACGGTTACGATGAAAGGATGTACAAATATTTTCCAAAAATAATCCATGTCATTTGTGAGCGTATTTTAAAACTATGCGGATGTTGGGTGAACGAATTCCCGCAAAATTGGAACATACCGATCACCACAGACTTTTTTTGCTCTAAATCTGGGAATGGTGTTGTTAGACATGAAAGTTTATACAGTATTTGTAGCAATGCGTCTGAAAGTATTTTTGATTACTATTTATTTATGACGTAACCATTTTTTTTTTAATTATTAGGCAATTTATTAAGTCCTGATACCTTAAATTCTCCGAGTAACGAACATTTCTTAACAATTCCTTCTGCACCATCAAGTCCTCATCCATCAGATTGTAGCGATACATTCTCAGGTAATTCAAAATTCATAACAATATTATCAGTATGCAACCAATATTACAATATTAGTATTGCAATACGCGATTTGCGTATTTGGTTGCATACGTCGGGTACGATAATTAATTAACACAGTGTATATAATTGTATAATATATGTGTATAGATTTGGATACTGATGATATAAATGAAGACCTCTTAGCAGAAAATAAATGTTTCCAAGAATTAGAAAATGAAAATCTTCTTTGGGAGCCTCAACAAATAATGATTCAAGACGTTCGAATTGTAGAGAACGCTTTATTAGTTGATTTTTCAACATTAGACGGCGAAAAACGAAAGGAAGTTAGAAAATTGCAGACGGATATAAATAATTCTCAGTCGGGGTGGTTAAAATTGGAGGTTGAAACTGATTTGATCGTGTTATGTTCGATGTTACACGATTGGATAGAAAGCTTAAAAGAGCCGATCATAACAACAAACGACATGGAAAATATTGTTATTAACTACAAACAACCCGAATTATGTTTTTCCCATTTCGAAATTAAATCTGCGTTTTTAATCGAATACCTTTTACATTTTTTAAGTAAAATCAATCCGATTACCGAATTAACACGAACTTGTATATTAAGAAGATTTTTGGCAGCTTTATCGCATCAAACGGTCGTAATAAACGACGTTGTTGTACCTCAAAGTATTAAATGTACATTTTTTTAATTAAAACAATTTTTGATTTTTTAATTTTTTAGATAAGGGTTTCGGAAAATTACGAGAAGGAACCTTAACGTGCGCAATCGAATTTTTCGAATCGCTTTATACGGTGTTGGATTCTTACCATCAAAGTCAAAAAAATTTTTTGACTGAAAATAAAGAATTCTTTGAAAATGCAGAAGAAAAGAGTGATTTTTGAGTTGAAATGAAGAAATGTTACTTCCAGTAGTTTTATTTTTATATTGTATGGGGTTTAATAAATTATTGAGGATTTAATTTTATTTTTTGATTTATTTAAATACCTCCATAATTACAGTAAACTGTATTACCACCATAATGGAATAACGAAATTAATAATAGATGTCACCGTTGAATTATTTTACGAATTTCAAAACTTTCAATTATAAATTATAATTAAAAATTTAAAATAAAAAATTTGAATTGAAAGAGTTTAAATTAAAAAAACTTTCCAAATGAAATTTGTGTTTTACAAAGATTTCGCGTTTTACCACAGCAATAAGTAAAAAATATTAACAATTTCACGTTTACTAAGTGATACAATGAAAAGTTTTTAAATTACAAAAAAAAGGTAAGAATCACTTAGATAATTATTATAGAAAGAAAACAAAGGATAAATAACGGATCAAGTTGACCTAGTCTACATTTTCTCAATAAGATAGGTACCGGTTAGCGGATTTTCTTTTAAGAATTGCTGTTGCATTCATTTTTCTGACCATTCGTATCTAAACTCGAATAGGTTCGTGGGCAGGATTAAACGTTGCTATCTCGTGGAAGTTACCTAAACGCCGAGTTTTTGTGTAAATAAGGTTCCCTGATAAGGGAACTTATTGCACCTCTAAAAAGCCGGGGAATGATTCATATTAAATGAAAGTCGTACGATGTTTTGTGCGTGATCATATTGTGAATCGATTAAATTTTCAATTTAAATTGGTAAGTGCCTTTAATATAAAAATAAATTAGCAAACAAAAAAATAATAAACAAAGAATAAAAAATAATTATTTTTATTGGAAATCACGCCACTGAAAATGAAATTATTATAAATAAACACAGAAAGTCGACGTCACAATATCGTTCGATCGATTGGGATTTAAAAATCGGTCGCGATAACTCGATTCAGAATGATATGATGGACAAAGTATCAACAACACATTCTTTTTAGAGAAGATATTAAAAAGAAACAATTTTAAAATTCAAAAATTTTAAAAACCCGCCTTTTTAAAAAATAATTTTTTTAAATCCTGAGATAACTCGTTTTGAAACACGTGTTTTAATAAAAATTTGTGTGTCCAAGTTAAACTCGTGCTCTCCAAAATTTTTAATATACAAGTAAGGTAAATATGAAACATTAATTAATTAAATAAAAATAATACATATTTTTTTCGTTATAATCAAATTAAGTCGATAGCGATTAAGTTTAGAAAAATACAAAAATTATCTCGTAATTTTTCGGCATAATTATCTAAAGGTCAAACGTTGCCAACGAAAACGAATTTCGAAAAACGTTGACGCCCATTTTTTGATTTATTTTTTTTCGTTAATTATTTTCTGTTCAAGTACGTCTCAATTCGCTTATCTTAATTTTGCAACAAGATGCAACACTCAACTGAAAGTCATCTTGCACACCTAAAAACGTGCTCTTCCAAACACTCGATAATTTATTGTTTTATAGATAACGAGGTACCTTCGATGGTTCAAAGTTTATCCCATTTATAACAATGCCCTGCGAATTACTACTGTTTTCTAAAACAATGATAACTAATAATTGATAATATTCAAGTAGACATATTCATATTTTTTTTAGATATTTACGTTTTTTTTTAAACGGGTTGCAAGGCGCAATTTGCTTTTTATCAATTAGATAACAACGAATTAAATTAAATACGCGGCTTATTTAAATTTATTAAAAAAAAATTGTTTCAAGGTTTAATTCGTATAGGAGCCAATATCAATTGATTTGGTTGTCATCCGCTCTAATAGATATTGTAAAAATCATTTTTGTTATATATGTATTACATACATATACAAGTGCTCGTACGATGCAGGTCAAAGTGTACCCGAATATCTTTTCACACAACTCGATTTCAATCGTTATCGCGATAAAATGACATTGATTCGGGATTTCGCTATTAGGACGCAACCCATGCTATTTTTGAAAAATTTAAAATTTAACCGTATCGAAACTTATTTAGATAACAGTATCGAAATCATAAAAAAATGTTTTTATTTAAATTTCACCTTACATATATTTTATTAAAATAATTATTTTAACTTACTTTTAAATAATAAATATAATTTTTTTTTTGATATTATTTTATTTATAAATACGTTACAAAAATAATTATAATCTCATTAAGGAAGTTGGTCAAAGTTAAAAAAAACAAAAGTTAAAATAGATTTGAATTGGAGTTAAACCCAATTGACTTGAATTCCTCTTTAATTCGTTGTCGAATATTAACAGTCAAAAAATTACGAAACTAAAACGATATAATGTAATACTTAGGGCAGAATATTCGGACGGTTTCAAAAAAAAAAAAAATGGGTGACATGAGTCAATAAGATAACGGATTTCCATAGAGTTAGATAACTATAAATTGGCGGTCGCTAAATATTTATTGCAGTCGCGGGGCGAGTGTTTAGTGACTTGTGCGTGTGCGACTTAGTTATATTTTGTGTTTTTAAATTTTTTAATCGAAATCAAATTGCAATAAAAATAAGCACCGCAACAGGTAAATTGTTAATTCATTAATAATAAGCAAAGCGTCGCCTTGAGATCGTTATTTTTTTGAATTTAATAATCGTATTGTGTACACTTTCTCGCGACAAATGGTTGGTTTACGGTCGATATTCCACAAGAAAAATTAATTTTTGTAAAATTAATTAGTTTTGTTAGTTATTAAATAGAGTTTCCAAAAAAGGATTTAAATACAATTGGGCGGTGAGATATTTTTAGTAATTAAATTATTACAACGAGGTAATACGTGGAAATTCTTGTTTATCTACTTAGATTATTAATACCATGGATATAATGAATTGCAAATTTTCTTCTTGAGGTATTTTATTTATTAAAACCTTATAAAATAAGAAATATTTTTCTTTTTATTAGGTTTTAAATGTAGATAATATTATCTATACCATAAAGTGATAAAAAATACGCTATCAACAAATTTCCACATATATTAATTTTTTTATATTATATTAACCACAATATCGTTAAAATTTAAATCTATTTTATTTTAAGAAATATAAATATAACTTTTTTTTGTTTATGATTGATATCTTTGATCTGATATAACACTCGTGCGGTCTCTTAACACTTAAATCAAGGAATTAAACAACATTTCCAAATTCGATTAACGCAGCCGCATCGTTAAATAAAAAAAATTAGACACCTTCCTTTATTGCTCGTTTTCTTTACTTCTAATGGTTTAAGCGCGTTTTACTTTTTTTTAATCCGAAGGACAAGGCCACTAGAAAATCTAAACATCTAATCACGATTTGTACATAAATTAAATTCAGTTACTAACTTAAGTAACTTGGCAATTAATTAATTATCATAACAATAACGTGTACAATAAATAATTACACTTTTTTTTTTGTTGCATGATTTCAAATCATCATTTAAATCTAATTTTTTTATTTTGTTGTTTCAGTTTTTCGTCAGAGTCAATTGAACAACATAATTTTCCAGTTTTAGAAACTCATCAAGATGTCAGTACAAATGAATGGAATATCACATGATAATAATAATAAAAAACCTAGTAATGGTATGTTATTTATTTTTTTTTTCTTTGTTTAAACGGAAAATTATTATTTACAATTTTTTTTATCAATTATTTTATGATCCTAATCAATTAATTCTTATTTCCTATAATTTCAGATTTAATAAGTTAATTTAATCTTAGAATAAACATTTTTTCTCATTAATTTGACTTGGTACTTCATTTTGGTTTTTTTAGTTTCATAAATTATTTATTTAAGAAAATATCCATTAAAAATTTGGATTTAGTACCAAAACCTATTTGGAATCATACCAATTTTTGGTTCTCTAACAACATTTTTTTTACACTTTTCATTAAATATGTAAAGAGGATCAAAAATGCTTTCATTTAATAGATGCCAACCTCAATATAACGTTATCGCCGACTTGGTACCACATTTTTATATTTTTTTAGCATCATAAATTATTTATTTAAGAAAACATCCATCAAAAATAAAATGAGGAGCTAAAAATAAGCCAATTGAATGTGTTATAACCCTAATATAGCTTTGGTACCAAATATATTTGGTATGATACCAATTTTTTTGTTCCCTAACAAAATTTTTTTGATACTTTTCATTAAATATGTAAAGAGGATTAAAAATGCTTTCATGTAATACACCACAACCTCAATATAACATTATCGCCGACTTGGTACCACATTTTTATATTTTCTTAGCATCATAAATTATTTATTTAAGAAAATATCCATCAAAAATAAAAGGAGGAACCAAAAATAAGCCAATTGAATGTGTTATAACCCTAATATAGCTTTGGTACCAAATATATTTGGTATGATACCAATTTTTTTGTTCCCTAACAAAAAATTTTTTATACTTTTCATTAACTATGTAAAGAGGATTAAAAATACCTTCATTTAATACATCACAATATCACTTTATAATCGATTTGGTACCGACATATTTAGCATTGTACCAAATTTTATATATATATGTATATAATAACAGTTTTTTTTTGAATTTTTAAGGTCCGGATCAAATAATTCCCGCTGAAAATTTATACACAGCTGATCCAACAGGATGCGTTAAAATTCGAATGCCAAATAATAGTAAAGATTTATCAGGAAACCCTCCATTGTCGGTTCCGGGATTATTAAAAAGAACTGTATCAAATTATCCCGATAGTATTGCTCTTTGTACTAAGTTACCCGATGGAAAATGGCACAAAATTACTTACAGGTAAGTAAGAAAAACATAATGAATTAGTTTTGATTAGAAAAACACTTAAAGTAATGATGAAAAAGTAAGTTTGAAACGATAACAATCTGAGGTGTAAAGTACATTCACGAATTGGAGTAGTAGATAATCCCGGAGTTAATTTTTAACGTGCAGTTATGTAAGGAGTTGCTCTTTTATCAGTTTCGCCTCATTTTTTTACGCGCAATCATTTAATTAATATTATTTGAGATAAGTCGGTGAACTTGAATCTAAACTAAAATTAATCATTTTAATCGTCCACTATTTTAATTTTATTCAAAATTCCATCAAACGTTAGTTTCACAAATTTAAATCACAATTCCGCAATAAAATCGTATTAACATGCGTCTTATTGTCTGACAATAATAGGGCATTTAAATCACGGCTACTAAGCATTTTTGAAAGTAACTCTAGTCTTTGGTCCTTGAAACACTTCGTCGTCTCTCTTTTCAATTTTTTTTAATTAAAAATACGTAATTCCAATATTAGATTTATAATTAATATAACAATTGATGACATAAATTTTTTTTTTATTGTTTTATTAATTGTTTTTAGAGAATACCAACAACAAGTCCGTCTTGTCGCCAAAGCATTTATTGCTTTAGGATTGGAAAGATATCATTCGGTATGCATTTTAGGGTTTAACAGCCCCGAATGGTTCATATCAGATTTGGCAGCTATTCACGCCGGGTAAATTTAATTAATTAATTTTTTGAAATGATTTTTTATTATTAATTATTTTTAGTGGATTCGCCGCTGGTATATACACGACAAACACGGCTGAGGCTTGTTTTTATTGCGCGGAAAATAGCAGAGCCAATATCATTGTCGTCCAAGATAGCAAACAATTGGAGAAAATTCTTTCCATCAAATCGAGATTGCCTCATTTAAAAGCAATTATTCAATACGAGGGGATCCCTGATAAACCAGACGTTTTAAGCGTAAGATTTAATTTTATAAACTTTATAATCACCAAATAAAATTTTTTTTAATAGTGGAAAAGAGTGCTTCAAATCGGCAGAGAGCAAAGCGATGAAAAACTTGAGAATGTTCTCAAAACTATGGGTGCAAACGAATGTTGTACTCTAGTATACACTGTAAGACCAATAAATTTATTAACACCAATTTATGATTAACTTAATTTTTTTTAGTCTGGAACTGTAGGAAATCCAAAAGCTGTAATGTTAACCCACGATAACTTAACATGGGACGCTATAGCTATAGGTGAAAGAATAGGTGGTTTAAAAGACGGAATGGAATCCATCGTAAGTTATCTTCCATTAAGTCACGTCGCAGCCCAAGTCGTCGATATTTACATCACCATGTCAGTCGCTGCTTCGGTCCACTTCGCTGATCCAAACGCTCTTAAAGGAAGCTTGGTTAACACATTAAAAGAAGTTAGGCCAACCAGATTCTTAGCTGTACCAAGAGTTTGGGAGAAAATGCATGAAAAAATGATGCAAATTGCAGCTAGTGGCGGTATTATCCAAAAAATGATCGCCAGTTGGGCTAAAAATAACAGTTTACAACATTATATGAAAAAAATGAATGGGTAAATATTACAATACAAATTCTATTATCTTAATTTCAATATTTCTTTTAAATTTTAGTGTCGAATCGAGCACATTTGGTTATTCAGTGGCTAGCTCCGTAATTTTCAAAAAAATTAAAGAAGCTCTCGGTTTAGAAAGGTGTAAAACATTCGTATCAGCGGCCGCGCCGTTGGCGGCAGACATCAAAAAATATTTCTTCAGTATAGATTTACCTATAATGGAAGCTTTTGGTATGTCGGAAGCTGCCGGAGCGCACACTTTGGGAGTTTTAGACGCTTTTGGTTTTGATACAATCGGACCAACGATACCCGGCATGCAAACAAAACTTCATAACAAAGATGCTCAAGGTCATGGCGAAATTTGCATGTATGGAAGGCATGTGTTTATGGGTTATTTAAATGAACCAGAAAAAACTAAAGACACTTTGGATGAAGAAGGTTGGTTACATTCCGGTGATATTGGAAGAATTGATGAAAGAGGTTTGGTGTATATTACTGGTAGATTGAAGGAATTGTTAATTACCGCTGGAGGCGAAAATGTACCTCCAGTTCCTATTGAACAATTGGTGAAAGCGGAATTGCAACATGTTAGCAATTGCGTCTTAATTGGTGATAAACGCAAGTTCTTGTCTTTGTTGGTTACTTTGAAAACGGAGGTTGACCCCGACACTGCAGCTCCTTTAGATAAATTAACACCAGAAGTGAAAGATTGGTTGTCGAGTTTGGGATGTCCAGCATCTACGATTCCTGAAGTACTTAAAGCTGGACCTGATCCGAAATTATTGCAAGCTATTCAAGGCGGAATTGATAGAGTTAACAAGCAAGCTACCTCTAATGCTCAAAAAATTCAAAAGTTTGCTTTGTTACCTAAAGATTTCTCTATTCCTACTGGTGAATTAGGTAAGAAAATTAAACTTTTTAAACCAAACTTTTTACGTGAAAATATTTATTTTGGGACACGTAAAAATAACTTCCAATTATTTTTAAATAACTTAATAACGTATAAATTTATTATTTTAGGTCCTACACTTAAATTAAAACGTAACGTAATCCTGGAAAAATATGGCGATATTATAGATAGGTTCTATGATTAATTACTTTTTTTTTAAATATAAATGTTGTGTTATTTGTTGGATGTTAGGTATATCTGTTGTATATTTTTTATTGTAGCCCTTAAGGTTTATTATTAAATTTGAAAAAAAAGGAAAAAACGAAAAAAATTTAAAAAACATTTTTATTTAAATAAAAAAATAAATGAATTTCTTTTTTGTGGAATAATATTAAAATTTTTTTTATTTAAGCCGTTCTTTTTTACTTGTATAACTAACTTCATATTAACAACTTTTTTTTTAATATTATTATCATCACTAAGTCGTTCCATTCAAATAAAATAAACCAATTCAACGTTATGATTCATTCATGCATCAGGATATTAGGTTGTTAACGGCATCCAAAACAATTCCAAAAATGCGTGATGCCTCAAAAAAAAATCTGGAAGGACTATATTAAAGTAAGTACAAGCTTAACTTTAATATTTATTCGTTTACAACAATATTTTAATAAGAAACACTAAAAAAAGCAGTCGTAATATATTATTAGGAGCCGAGGCAGTGACTAAACTATTACAAAATTATTAATAAGGCTTTCTTGGCAGTCGTAATATATTATTAGCTGCCGAGGCAACGGTTTGAGTATTATACAGCAATAAGTAAAGGTTTCGTTTTAGAACCAATACTTCATGAGAAGCCGAGGCAGTGGCAGTATTACAAAGTTATTAAAGTTTTCTTTGCAGTCGTAATAAATCGCTAGAAGCCGAGACAGGGATACCTCGCCAAAGCAATGGCTTGAGTATTATAAAGCAATAATTAATTAATAATAAATTAATTTGCCGACATTGAGTCATCTCATGATATTCCAAGTATAGTCAAATTATCCTTACAGTTAAGGTCTTTAGAAATCCGTCTAGGCAGACAAAATGCAGAAATTTCTTGACGTTGTGGAAGAAGATCCAAACTTTATGGGGATTAGAGCATGGAGATGACTGGAAGGATGTTCTAAAGCATGTCAGGAAGATTTTGACGAAATCCAAGATGCTGGGAAAAAGACGTCAAGTTGAGAAAGATGAATGAGTTGTTGAGAATATTCTTGAACTCATCCTCCACTTTTTCCATTCTAGCATTCTTGTATCTTCTTTCGTCTTAATATCTTTTTAGTCGTTTCGTGATGAAGTAGTTTACATGTTCGAATTACAATTGCAGAATACAAACAAAATTTTTAATAATCATCATTATTAATTAACATACAAAAATTATCATTTAAAAATGTTAAATATTCAACGAAATGTTGAAGGGGTAAATATGGCTAAGGAGAACATAAAAATAGAATTAATAAAAATTTTATTTATACACCTATGAAATAAAATACAAGTTAAATGGTTAATAATACTTGGTAAATATTAAAAAAAGATTTAATGACACATGGATCAGTTCCTGATAAACTTATTTTTTATTTTGGCTGGGTACCGCATCTTCTTTTTTGCGTTGTTTTTCTCTCATCATTTCCGCATCCCTATAAACAGGATACTCTCACCCTTATTACACACTTTAAACTAAACTTAAATATGTAAAAATAAAGTTGCTTTCTATGATCTGTTTTACCGAAATTTTCTCTGTTCCAACGTTAGGCCGTCCCCCCCGGAAGGTTTCTTTTTAGAACTTTCGAGTTGTTTCCTTTGATTCTTAGCCCTGGCCAATTCGCGTTGATTTCCGCCTAAAAACGAACGTCATTTAACCGTCAACCGGCCGTTCGGAAGGTCATTCGCGTCACTCACGTGTCATTTTTTTTATTTATTACACACTATTTCGATATTCTTTGCTGAGTTTGCCGAAAATGTTTGCTTTAATTTTATTTTTTTTTTTAAGCCTGTCAAAGGCCGCAGCCTCAAAAAAGGCAACGCTACACAACCGGACCTACTCCGTGAAAACTTAACCAGAACAGTGCGATAAAGGTAGTATGACCTATGACGCATTCTACTTCAACGACATCTAACATCAAAAATAATCAACTTTATGTAATTTGATCTTTTAAATAACGCATTTATTTAATGATTTTACCCATACATTTATTCTTTATTTTATTAATTACATCGTATTTTTTTTTATTAATCTTTATTTAGTTCACTTAAGTGATAAAAGATGTCACCACGTTATTTAGTTTTATAAACAATAAGAGATGTCGCTTTTGTAATCACATTGAATAAAAAAAAAATGCTTAGCTTCGCACTTCGCATAAACCTCAAAATCAGTGCCAGACGCAGTCATAATTTGTGTTCGTTTGAATTGGTGTTTTAGTTAAATTGTATATATATAATGCTGGTGATAACTTCCCAAGGAAAAACGATAAGGTGGGCTATTTTAGATTGAAACATTAACATAATGACAACCAACGCAAAAACCTCATGTGCGAAAAAATGATTTTATCTTTTTTAGGTAGTACAACGCAAAAACGATTTACGATGTCTGGAGACGTTCTAAATTCGGAATGCGTGGAGCGCATTAGTATGAAAGATGTCGAGGATCTTTTGGATTATTTTTCAAAAAATGGTTATAAATCGAATAGTACGGATGCTGTTGTAAGGAAATTCGCACGATTTTTAAAAAACCCTTTCAGTATTGCTTTGTTTTAGCCCATAGCTTGTATGTCAAACACCATTGGATTAATGAAACTAGATTATACTTTATTTACTATTAAAAATAGTAATCCAGAGCTGTGCAATCATTATCCAAGCGAATTAATATTCTTGGAGTCTCCGAAAAACGATAATCCGACTATATACGAAAATTTGTATAATAGTGAACAATTAAAAAGTTTAATAACTAATTCTAGATATGCAAGGTGCCGCGCTCGTTTTCCAATGCCTGTGATAATGTATAAAGGTAAATATCTATTAAGATCGTCGACTCTAGCTGGTCCTCTAGAGTTAAACGCTAGACATATTTACGACACAATAAAAAGTGTGTTTGGCTACGAAGTAAAACACATAACAGATATGGATATATATCGTTTAAGAAGTTTAGATGTCGAATTATTAGAAAGTTACAATGTTATGAATATAGTTGATTTGATGGTTGAGAAGAAAAAAATCAAGTACAATGTAAGTGTGACGTCATCGGAGAAGGTTACGGAAGAATACGGACATTACGGACACTTTAATTTACTTTCCCTACCTTACCCCGGCTGTGAATTTTTTTCGGAGTTTCGTTTAAATAATTACGAGGCCGAAGACTTACAATTTGATTGGGAGCAACCGTTTATTGACGCAGAATTAGTTCCTCCTCAGCAAGATGGTCCCTTAGCTCAGCTCAACATACGTTGGGAAAACTATCGGAAATGGAATTTAGTTGAAATGACTCAAAATTATTTAAAAGTTCTTCTTAAATATATGCATGAAAGAAAAGACAGCACCCTCATCCATTGTATAAGCGGATGGGATCGCACACCCATGTTTGTCTCTTTAGTACGAATAAGCATGTGGGCTGACGGCGTAATACATCACTCATTATCACCTTTAGAAATGCTCTATTTAACCGTTGCTTATGATTGGTTTTTATTCGGACACGATCTACCAAATCGTAGAAGCAAAAACGAAGAAATTTTTTATTTTTGCTTTTATATGTTGAAACATATTGAAGATGAGGAATTCTGTATAAACCCCAATTACATGTAGGTATATATACAGGTGTCTCGAAACTCAACGTCAAGCGGGCACCGGGTGAGAGGCCAACCCATACCTGTTTTGGTAAAATGAGAAAAAAATTCCATGTCTCTTAGTTAAGTAGTAATAGACATATTTTTGAAAACGTTAAAAATCAGCCCTGTACAGGGTGTCCAAATTTCGATGTCCGCATAGGCTATCTCCGAAACTAAAAGAGATAGAAAAAAAGTAACTTACATGTCATGATCTCGTTTTTAGAGAAAATGCTAATGCCGAAAACTCCGAACAGCTATCGTCTTTTGTTTTCGCCCTATCGGCAAAAACTGAAAATTTTGCGAAAACGACAATCGCGAATATCTCACTTATTATCAAAGATGGAGTATTATAAATAAAACATTATATGGGCAACTTTTTACGAAGAATTCAGTGGCGTAGGTAGAATTTTTTTCCCATCTTTTATTTTCGAGATTTTAGACGTAACTTTATTTTTTTAAATGGAAACCATAGTTGGCTATGA